GTGCCCCGTGACTGTCTGCATCAAATAAGAACTGTGACTACAGGGACCATACATAAGAGGGACACTCTTGCGTGTGGTGTACATTCTAGGACAGAGCCCAAGAGGACTCAAGGTCAACACAAGTGATGGTGCTTACCAGAGAAAGTCTGGCTGGCACCAACCGTGCTTCAGGGGTTGTGAATTTGGTTAACCCTGAAAATCCTAAATATGACCCCAATTCTCTTTGTGGGTTTCAATTTAAGCAACAGGTTTAACCTGGAATTTAATGGTGCAGTTTATACAGGATTTTTTTTTGGGGGGGGGTTTGGCCCTTGGAGGAGAGCTGATTCTATTCACAGTAATTTTGAGGTAGGCAAAACTGCCCCCAAGTGGTTTTCAATGCTGTAAATCTTACAAAAACAGACTGCCACACCTTTTTCCTGAGGGGAGGCTGGGGTTAGACACTTTTTTGTTAGTTAAGCATTTAACCACAGGGAACAGGGCACTAACCCACCCAAGGGAAGGGTATTGTATATATCTCCACAAGGAAAGAGGGACCAGACTTTAACCCGGTGCTCCAAGATGTGAATGCAAGGAATCAGGGAACCAATAGAGAGGTCTGAGGGGAGCAAATGAAGGGGGAGGAAGAGAAAGTGGAGCACATCCTGGCCTACCAAACCTTGAGGACGATATTCCCGCTCAGAGCAGCCAATGCACAGAGACATCCAAGGGCCGGCCCCTCTATGAGACATGACATCCCTCACTGACCCATAGCCCTATAGGGGACAAAGCTGGAAACACACCCCATCTGACTCCACCACACTGAGGTGAAACACTAAAGGTGTGCAACAGAACAGCAAGGGGAACAGAGCAACAAAGTCCCCAGGGAATACCAAAAATAGACTTTGCGCCCAGGGCACAGCACCCCATCAGACTCGACCAGAAAACACTCCTAAAGGTCAACAAATAGACCTTGAGCTATTTACAGGCACTTTTTAATTGGTCGTTGTTTTTGTTTTGTTTTCTTTTGTTGTTTTGTTTTGCTCTGCCTTGTTTTTTGTGCATATTATTATCTCTGCAGGTCTATCTAGATAAGATAGGTGGGATAAACAAGCTGGAGAAGAAAACAATGGGACCAATGCTTCCAGGGGGACATGGGAGAGAGGGGCAGGGGAAAGGAAGAGGGTATTAACAAACCCAGGGACAAGAGAACAACAAGTGATCCAAAATCGATGGCCAGGAGGGTATAGGAGACCTGGTAGGGCTTGATCAAGGGCAATGTAACTGAGAGAAATTACTGAAACCCAAAGGAAGGTTGAACATGGTAGTGGGACAAGAGGAAAGTAAAATGAAATAGAGGAAAGAAGTAGGAGGTAAAGGGCAGTTATACAGGTCTAAATACAGGCATGTATACATGTAAATATACTTATATATGACAATGGGGAAATAAATCTATGTGCATATATTTATAGTTTTAGTATTAAGGTAGCTATGGACATTGGGCCTCTATTTAAGTACTCCCTCAATGCAAGAACACTTTGTTCTATTGAACTGGTATTCCATGAT